CTACAACTAGAATCTACAACTATGTACTGGGGGACTTTGGGGAGGAGAAGAAGAAGGAAAAAAAGGAAACTTGGCAACAGATGTTAGCTCAGGTGCCAATCTTTAAAAAAAAAAAGAATCACCTGGAGAACCTAAAAACAAAAATGGAAAAAACCAAAACTGAAAGAAAAAAAAAACAGCCCAGTAAAGGAGCCCCAGCCCAGACCAGTTAACTCTGAATTTCAGGGATTAGTTCCAGGCATCAGTATTTTTAAAATACCAATGGCTCTAATATGTAGCCAGGGTGAAGACCTTTCTTCATTTATTTAAAAAAGGTCCTTAGGTCATTTTGATAAGCTGAGAACAAGTGATAGAGAGTTCCTGAGTATGTGGGATCATTTGTGACACTTAATAAATAAAATATAATATAGGAGTATGTTTTTGTTTTGGAGAACTATTAAGCTTTCCTTGTATCTTTTTAAAAGTAAGGACAGGGAGCATGACATCAATAAACAGGATTAATTAAAAATACATCAGCACTGTTTTATGGACAGAGGCATATGGTTGGCTGGAGGGAGAGAAAATGAACGTCGGGTGAGCATATCTGAAACAGGACTTTTGTGGCAGAACATTCCCATCTTGTGGCTTGTGAGAATAGTGCTGCTACAGATTAAAAGCTGTATTGCATTCTTGCAACTAATGGTGGTTTTCTGTTGATGTTACTTCTAGTGATCAGGGCACAAAAAATTTAACCACCGGCACCATTCCCTCACTGTCTTTTGCTGCCTGACCCTGTGATCCTACATTGAACTTTTCTGACCACTCCATGCGCTGAGCTCTGCTTCTGCAGCCAAGTTACAGGGACTTCTTCCCGAACTGTTGCCACTGCATTGTTTCAACCTTGTTATTATAAACACATTTGGAGTACCTAGTTACTCAGTTATTGTGAAGTAATTAAAAGAACTTTGGAGTCAGAAGTCAGATCTCATCTCCCTGGTTTAATAATTCTGTGTCAGATTATCTCTGTTTGCTCATCTGTCAAATGGGAAATAATATTACCGATTTCATAGAGAGGTTATGAGGATTAAATGAGTAATTGCATGTGAGACACTTAGTGGCGTGCTTGACATGTAAGTGATGGATAAATGTTTACCGTTCATTCCTTTAGCAAATATGTTTTGAGTATCTTTTAAAAAGTGCCAGTCCCTGTGTTGAGTGTTGAAGATGTGGTGAGTAAAACAACTCTTCATTTTTATGAGCACACTTAAGAGGGAAAACCATGCACATAACGTGTATTCTGTATCACTTATAGATACCAGTAATCTATGGAACGTTTTTATATATACAGCAAATTCTTGGTTATTTATGTAGAATATCAAAAGCCTGTATGTCGGTTAGTTCTAATCACAAACTTCTTTTGACGTCTAAAAGGCTCATAGTCTCAAGTTTGTAATGCAATTCCACTACATTATTTTTTGAACTAAAGAATTGAGATTTTAGTGTGTATGTAGGAACTAGGAAGGCCATAAAATTTCAAAATAAAGAATGAGTCAGCTTGGTTTTGATAAAAATGTTTTTTACTTTTCTTTTTTAAATATTTTGCTGCTTTTTTTTTTTTTAAGATTGGCACCTGAGCTAACAACTGTTGCCAGTCTTCTTTTTTTTTCTGCTTATTCTCTCCAAATCCCCCTAGTACATAGTTGTATACTTTAGTTGTGGCATGTGGGACGCCGCCTCAGCATGGCCTGATGAGCTGTGCCATGTCTGCGTCAGGATCTGAACCGGCGAAACCCTGGGCTGCCGAAGCGGAGCGCGTGAACTTAACCACTTGGCCATGGGGCTGGCCCTGATAAAAATGTTTTTAAATTTTTTTCTGAATGCTTTATTTCATCAGATTGTATTAAAATGACAAGATCGTAAATATTAGAGTTGGAAATTATTTTAAAGATTGCCAAGCTTTTCCTGAAGGCTTTCTATTTTGGACAGCCTTAAATGCTAGAGAGAATTCATCCTTAAAATTGAAATCTTCTTTCCTGAAACTATCTCCTGTGGTCCTTAGTTTGCCTTTCAAACTAAGATATATCCTCTAGTGCCTCACTGAAAAGTGCTCTTTGTCATTATCTCAAGCCTGGAGAGAGATTTGAATTCATTGAATTGGTCCTCACCCAGAGTTTTAAGCTTTCTCTCCTAAAATTACCCCTTTCTCTGTATACTTAACCATGTTGATTGTTTTTAGCAGAAAGTTAAACCACCATGCTTTCCCATCTCTCAGTTGGGTACTGTTAACTGGTAAATTTTCTCTGGTTATCCTAGCAAACTGAATATAACAGGTCAGTGATACACAGAAGAGTTAGATGACCATTTGTTTTACTTGGAGCACTGTACTTCTGTTGATGCTATGTAAAATTGTATTGACTCTTTGGGCAGGCATATCAAGCTACTGTGCTGTATGGTTACAATCCCTCCCCCGCCCCCAATCCTATTACAGTTCACTTTCGTTAGAGTTAAGACAGTGTTTTAATATAAGATATTTTTGAACTGTGATAACTCATTTTTGAATATATATATTTTTCTCATTCCTGTTTTCTTTGTAAAAGGAAATAAGATTATTTTGGCCTGCCTCCTTTGTGAATCTGTGCTGTCTCCTAGTCATCAATATTCCTTTTTGCACACATAGGAACCAGCTGTTTAGGAATCAGTTCTATAATTTGTGTGAATATCTACATTAAACTCATATGTCTTTTAGCATCTGTCATTTAACTTTGATTTCGATGGTGGTTCAGTGATCTCATTAATAGGGTTAAGTATCTAGGAACCTAGGTTACCTTGACAAATGACAGGTGTTTGTAATAATTCTTTATCAGTTTTGCTTATCCCCTCTTAGTCATCCATGTTTCTTCTATTTTTTAATTGTGAAAATAATTGTCCTTGGCAGAGAGGCAAGTTGAATAGGAGTTAAATAGTTCTGCTTTCTTTTTATTGACAAAATCAATAGTAGTGATCATTATTGAACTTTTAGTACGTGGCAGACCCTGTGAAAAATATTTACTATACATGATCTCGTTTTTAGTAGTCAGAAATGCTATGAAACAGCTCCATTTTGCAAATTAGAAATCTAAGACCTAGGAAGCTTAAATAGCTTTCCCAAGGTCACAGCTAGCAAATGCTGAAGCTGGAACTCATACCCATACCTTCAAGACTCTTAAAACCCATTTTGTGCCTTTCAGGAAGTGGAGAGATCTTTTATACAGGGAGGCGTAAGGTTTGTGTGCTTAATTCCTTTCACCGTATTGAAAGTCTGCCAATCCTATCGGTTGGTGTTTTTCCACATTAAGCTCTTTTCCTGCTAACTGCTTGCTACCCTTAGGGGGTCTGGATCTTACTGATGTAAAGTCTTTAGGTCCATTCATCACAAAGTCTTTGCTTCACATCTATTACTAACTCATTTTAATTTTTAATTGAGTTACTGATAGGAAAATCATCTTCTTGTTATTAATTATACACACAAGCTTTGGAGTTTGACTTGGTTTAAATCTTGGCTTTACCACTTCCTGGATGTGTGACCTTAGCCTTTACTTAGTATCTCTTTGCTTCAGTTTTCTTATTTATAAAATGAGTAGAATAATGCCTTTCTCCTAAGGTAATTGTGAGAATTATGTGATTCGATAACACATGTAAAATAATTAGAATATTGCCTGGCTCATAATGTTCAGTAATTGTAACCTGTTGTTATTAATTGGTCATTGATGATTAATTTCTATCAGTAATATATTTGTTTTAAATGAAACACTAATCAATAAAATACTAATAACCATTTTGTTGTTAGATTTATTTTTTCCTCTGAGAACTTTCCATTATATTTTAGATAGTGTTGTCCTTTAGCCTTCAGGCCAAGGGCTTATACTAAATACCACCACTACTACTACTATTAGTAAATACTGTGTGTCAAGCACTATTCAAAGCACCTATTAACCTCACATTGTAGGAATTCATATTATTGATTACTGTTACTGTGAACTTTTAAATTAATTGGCTGTTCCACCATGCAGTGTTACCTCTTTATCTGTATGGAAATATTAAAGGAGAAGGTAATATAAGAGCTGGTTATTCCATTAGAGGTTATTTGACGTAGTCTTCACATTGAGGAAAATTAGTTAGTGCTGGAGACTAGGTTCTCTTTATGTTCTCTGTTACCAATCAGATTCTTGTTGGATACACGTTCCCGTTGTTGCTTCCTCTGACTAATGAGATGCTCTGTTCAGGAACCTTCTTGAGATGTTGAGAATTTGTCAGGGCGTTCTGCTTTCAGGTGTCCAGGTAATTGAGGTCTTTATCTCTGTCTTGTTGATGGTTTTATCATCTATGTCGGGAAGTTATTTTCCTGTTACAAAGGTTAACGGGATCACTTCCTCTGTGATAACCTCAGGTTGAGGTGATAGTGTTTGATTTTACCAAAGGAACTCCTGGAGCCTAGATCTTTGGGGACCCTTGACCTGAAGGTCATGAGTGCTGGATGTGGCTGTTACTGAATTTTCAAACTCCAGGAGTTTCAGATGTACAGTTAGACTATGTGAGCTTTATTATTTATGTAAGGGTAAAGGAAATGATTTGTAAGAAATTTGATAGTGCTATTATGTAATTTTGTGGTTTTGCAAACTGACTAGTATGGTGTATGATCCTTTTCTTTGAAATAAAGAAAATATAGTGACAAGCCTGGTGGCATAGCAGTTAGGTTTGCATGCTCGCTTCGGCAGCCCAGGGTTCACCAGTTTGGATCCCAGGCGTGGACCTATTCACTGCTTGTCAAGCCATGTTGTGGCAGGCGTCCCACATATAAAATAAAGGAAGATGGGCACAGATGTTAGCTCAGGGCCAATCTTCCTCAGCAAAAAGAGAAGGATTGGTGGCAGATTAGCTCAGGGCTAATCTTCCTCAAAAAAAAAAAAAAAAAGAAAAAATGAAATAAAGAAAGTATAAACAACAAGAATAGTTTTTAAGCTCCCTTCTGTATTTTTTTTTAGGTGGTGTTAAAGATAATAAAACATTATCAAGAAGAAGGACAAGGAACTGAGGTGGTTCAAGGAGTGCTTTTAGGCCTGGTTGTAGAAGATCGGCTTGAAATTACCAATTGCTTTCCTTTCCCCCAGCACACAGAAGATGATGCTGACTTTGACGAAGGTAAGGATACTCATCTCAGATGTGTCTTTGCGGTGCACACAGATTTTAATACAATTTTCACCATAACCTTTGACAATCTGTTATTGGGAATCTATCAGGCTAGCCTAGGTCATTTGATTTTCTGAGTTTGTTGAAAAAATTATACAAATTCTTTGAAATGAGGATTTATGTGAAAAGTTTTATTAGTTTGGCCTTATTTGGAATTTGTGGTTCAGATTTTAGTAATTTCCATAGTGGCTGTGCTGATGTTACCTTTCTCATTATGAAATCCACTTACCAAATAACTTTACATTATAAAGGATAGGGATCATGATTGTGTCCAACATCCACTTCTTTCTTAGTGTTTTAACTTAATGTTTAAGAGATGAGTTGAACTATCTACTACAGAAAGCAGACTCTCCTTAAGTATTTCAAGAGCGTTTTACTTTTGTGCTACAGGGGTAATTGCTTTGTTAGCAAAGGCCAGTAGTAGTTAAAAACCTCACACCAAAGGCTGAGATCAGCATTCTAAAAGATTTAAAAAAAAATTTAGTTGAAAATAATTTCTTGCTTGTCTGAACTCTCAGAGCTCTTTTTCTGTATAACTTTTAGTTTTTTTATTGATAAAAACACATAACATGAAATTTACTATCCTAACCATTTTTCAGTGTATAGTATAGTAGTGTTAACTTAATATGCACATTGCTGTGCAACAGATCTCTAGAACTTTTTCATCTTGCAAATACTGAAACTTTATATGTCCATTGACTAGCTCCTCCCTTTTTTCCCCTCCCCCAGCCCCTGGCAACCACTGTTTTACTTTCTAAGTGTTTACTGCTTTAAATACCTCTTTTGTAAGTGGAATCATGTAGCATTTGTCTTTTTATGACTGGCTTGTTTCACATAGTTTAATGTCCTAAAGGTTCATCCGTATTGTAACAAATGACAAGATTTCCTCTTTTAAGGCTAATATACCATTGTATTTATATACCACATTTTCTTTATCCATTTATTTATTGATGGTTATTTAGATTGTTTCCACCTCTTGTTTATTGTGAATAATGCTACAAATACCTCTTTAAGATGCTGTTTTCTGTTCTCTGGGATATATACCCGGAAGTGGGATTTGCTGGATCATAGGGTAATTCTACATTTAATTTTTTGAAGAACTTCTATACTGTTGTTCATAGTGGCTGCAGCAGTTTACATTCCCACCAACAGTGGACAAGAGCTTCAATTTCTCCACATCCTCACCGACACTACTTATTTTCTGTTTTTTTGATAGTGGCCCTCCTAATGGGTATGTGGTGATATCTCATTGTGGTTTTAATTTGCAGTTTGCTGATGATTAGTGATGTTAAGCTTCTTTTCACATGCTTTTTGGCCATTTTTATGTCATTTTTGGAGAAATGTCTATTCAAGTCCTTTGCCCGTATTTTAGGATTTTGTTGTTGTTGAGTTGGAGGAGTTGTTTCTATATTCTGATTTTAACCTCTTATCATGTATATGGTTTATAAATATTTTCCCCCATTCTGTAGGTTACCTTTTCACTCTATTGATTGTTTTCTTTGCTGTGCAGAAGCTTCTTGGTTTGATGTGATCCAGATTGTCTGTTTCTGCTTTTGTTGCCTGTGCTTTTGGGGTGGGATCCGAGAAATCATTGCCAAGATCAACGTTATGAAGCATGTTCCCTAAATTTTCTCATAGGAATTTTATGCCAGTACTGTACTGTTTTGATTACTGTTGCTTTGTAATATGTTTTGAAATTAAGAAGTATGAGGCCTCTAGCTTTGGTTTTCTTTCTGAATATTATTTTGGGTATTTGGGGTCCTTTGAGGTTTCATATAAGTTTTAAGATGGTTTTCTCTATTTCTGCAAAAGATGCCGTTAAGATTTTGACAGGGATTACAATGAATCTGTAGATTTCTTTGGGTAGGATAAACACTTTAACAATATTAAAGTCTTCCAATCCATGAACACAGGATGTCTTTCCATTTATTTATGTCGTCTTTACTTTCAGCAGTGTTTTGTAGTTTTCAATGTATAGGTGTTTCACCTCCTTGGTTAGGTGTATTTCTATGTACTTTACTTTTCTTGGTGCTGTTGTAAATAAGCTTGTTTCTTAAATTTTATTTTCATCATTCATTTTCTATGTAACTTTTATCCTGATCACTTTAACTTTGATAAAACATTACTTATTTCATTTGATTTGACATTTCTTGGTAACTCGAACATATAATAGAGTATATTCTTGCCAAGGTTAATACCTTGATTTTGCAGTTTGGTCTACAAAAATTATTTTTTTATGAAAATAATACCTCTATAGAAACTAACCAAGGCTATTTTGTTCTAGGCTCTTGAGTATTTGAGTTTTTAAAAACTTTTGTGCAGTCTTCTTTTTAAAAACTGGCCAAGCTCTTCTTATTTCATCTGCACTACTGTAGTACATATACCTCACCCAGGGTTAAGGTTGGGATTTTTCTGCAGTCCATTCTGACGGTATTAGGATATCTCTGTTCCTCTATTTACCAGCATATCTGGAGATGCTTAATTATATTTCAGTAATAACTGTTTTTAGAGCTGGAAGACAAGGGGAGAAAACAAGGGATTGTTAACAGCATTTCCTTGGTCTATAAATGAGGGGCCTGAGAGGTTCACTTGAAGTGACTTATTCAGTTTCTGGGTTAGTAGCACAGTTGGAAGTGGAATTCATTCTTAAACAGGTTATATTGTCACAAGTTTTCTCAGGTAATTAATTTATTTTATAAAATTCTCAATTTAGAATATCAGCAAAAAATAATGTTCAGTGCAATTATATAAATGAACAAAGCAAAGTGTATTATTAATTTTATGTCTTAATCATTGGAAGTTAACTTCTCTTATGGCTTGAGGTGATTGACCATATGCTATTTCATTAACATATACTTTTAACAAGCTCATTAAAAAATATTTTAACAACACTGAAATAAGGAAAACTTCAGTTTAGCATTAAATAATAAAAAATTCCTCGGCATCGTATGCAGTGTATTGTGTGTACATTGCTTATAATCCGTTGTTACTCTGCACAGTTGAAGGTTTTATCAGTCCCATGTTATGGATTAGGAAACTGATGCTCAGTAAGACAAATAACTTGTCCAAAATCATTTAACTGGGGGGATTGGTAGGATAAGGATTGAAATCTGTGGCTGCCTGGTTCTAAATCCCATGCTTTTTCTGTTACATGGTGTTGCTTTTAGACACTTAGTGAAGTGGAAGCCAGTGATTAAAGGGTGCTGAGTGTAGAGCATCATTATTGTGTATTTGAAATTGCTTTTTGGCTAAAACAACTACATTTATTTCACCTGTAGAACATTTTCCCTTTTTCTTATACGTGTGAAAAATGTAAGACAGTGCCCTATATTTTTTCACAGCCTCGTGTAGTCTTGAATTTTAAGTTCTTACCTAATCCGTTTATTTATCTGAATGGGCATTAGTATGTAGTCACCATTAGATTTTTATCAAACCGAGATAAAAGCTAAATTTTCCCGTTATCTCGGTAAATCTTAGAATAGAATAGTCCTGCAGGTTGATGATTTTAAGTCATGCTGAAACCTGGTCGTTTTGCTTACTGCTTTTCTGTTATTTTATGCCTGCTAAAACTAATATTTATTCAGGGAAGGATCTTTTCTTCTGCCTTCCACCTTCTGCTTTACTTATAGAAGTAAAATATCAAATATTTTATAATTTTAGTGATTACATATTTTGAGTTGCTTTGGGTTTTTTGGGGGCGGTGGGGTGTTTCTTTGTTTTTGTTTTGGTGCCTGATGGAAAGTGGAGATTCCTAATTAGTGGTCCAAAAGTGAAATGTTTTGAGTCAGAGGTTGGCAAACTGTGATTCCTGGGCCTGCTTTTGCATGTAAAGTTTTATTGAAATATTGTCTTGCCCATTCGTTTATATATTTTCTGTGGCTGCGTTCCTGCTACAGTGGCATAGCTGAGTAGTTGTGACAGACCATATGGGCACCAAGCCTGAATTTTTTACTGTTTGGCTCTTTAAGAGAGTTTGACCACCCGTTTTTTATATATCACTTTTTCTTGTTATTTTCCCTCATAAGAATGAAGAATAAGGCAATAGATTTTTTTTTTCATCAAAAAGTGGTGACTTTTTGTTTGTTGTTTGTTTTTTCTAGATGCCGTGTTTTACACTGACTCTGAGTCTAGAATGTATTGTGGGCACTGTAAGAAAAATGCTGATATTATTGGGTGTTTGTTTCACTGGTACACCTGGAAGATAGCGGAATAGGTAGTTTTTGCTTTAATTTTAATGCATTTTTCCTTTAAAAAACTCCCCACATATTATATTGTTGATATTTTAGGGGAGCTGTCTGTAGATAATAGAGAAGAAAGGCATTCAATTCCTCCTTGTAGATTTGTGACCAGGTATTGTGGAAAGGTAATGGTCTGAGGTCTAAAAACTTGATTGGGAATTTCATCTGTTCTTAGGATCTGTGTGACTGAACAACTTCACATCTGAACTGTTTTTTTCTGACTCTAATATGTTTTATTTAGCACATTTTGATTGCTCACTTACTGAGTACTAGAAACTAGCTGAGAGACAATTTCCTCCTGTGATTAGCTTTTTGTATTAGTGCTACCTTGGATTAGGTTACAATAGGGTGATTCAAAACCAAGAAAACCATTGTGGCATGAAATAAATTTCTTGTTTGCTTCTTTCCAGAAATTCACATTTTGTTTTCGCACATGTGATAACTCTCCTTTGAGTGGTTTAAATATTGATACACTTTTATCTTATAGAACTTACTCCAGTTGAAAGTGAGACAGCTTGCTCATATTAGAGAATATATGCTTTTTAAAAAAATGATTGGAAAACTCATATTAAAATTCCCATTAGGGGGCACTATTATCAAGCTTAGGAGAACTGGAGACTAATTTGTTTTTTCAGACATGCAACCCGAGGCTTGCTAAAAGGGAAAAATATTTTCATCTGATAAGATTCAGATACTCTTTTATACAACTGAATT